AGGTTGTTAAGTTGGTTGATAAAATTGGTCTGAAAGCTGTAATTCATCTCTTCCTGATTGTCAGCCAACTGAAAGGCAGATTCTGTAGGTCAGGCTGAGCACCACAAACTCTGCAGAAATATCTTCTGTGACTTGGAGCAAGTCTGGAGTTTACAGAGAGTTTCCAGCTCAAGTTAATTGTGTTGTAATAAATGCTGCTTTTACTTCATCTTTGTTATAAATGAATTACAGCTTTCTCAGTGGTCAGATTCATGAATCTCTCTCTCCCACGATGGTTGGTGTACTTTGGCTTGTCTTCGTATGAAACCTAATCATTAATGCTGTCTTTATAATGTCTACTTGTAGGGGATATTCCAGATGCATAGAATTCAAAGATAATTTTGGGTAACTGAACTGTTCCTGAAAATGATGGATAGCATTGCTGCTTTTCTGGCAGTTGCCTATGGCTAGACGACTGCAGAGTTTAGGGACATTAAAACTTTAACTGTTCAAGTGCCTGGCTTGCATGCTCTGCCCTATCGCAGGTGTTTTACTGCTCTGCTTGGTGAACAGTGTTCACTTGCCATTCATTTATCTGGTGGCAAGTTTGCTCTCCTCTGAAACATTAGGAGCTGCATGCATTCGTTTATGTGCAAAGGAGGCTCAGAAATGGCCTGAAGAGAGGACTGTCTTCTTTCTTTAAGTGCTTGAGGACTGCTGTAAAGATTCCATAACTATTTGTATAGTATGTCCAGGGGCACTGCAGAAGGTTAGTTCTGTTAGTTCCTTCTGTTTTGCTCTGCTAAATGAAAGCTTAATCTGGGAGAAAGAGAGCAGGCAGTGTCACGGAGGCCGAGTTCCTTTATGGCATTGATGATGTTCTGTGTGATTGACAGGTTATTGGCAAGCAAAAAGGTGACAGAGTGAAGAGTAATGATCCGATCTAACTTTCTCATTTTCCAGACTGAAAATTACCATTGGCAGCGTTTTTCTTTTGCAAAAGATAAAGGTCTTGTGCATTTAAAAATAATAATAATAAAAAGCCAGAGGCTGAATGTACACACTTGAAGATCATTATCTGGCGTGTTTATTCTTTTAAAAACGTTTTCTGCTGTAATTTAGCAAATTGTTTAGTGACATTAAGAAACATCATCCCCAAATATAAATCTATCTACAAGCATCGTGATGTTAGGATATTATTATTATTTTTTTTAACTAAATTGTGTCCAAGAACAGACAGAATTGCAGAAGCAGTCTCTCCAAGTTCTAATGCTTATGGGGAAAGGAATACGTGAACATAAATGGAAACTACTGAAGCCCATGCAACAATGCTGGGTTTCCAAAGCACTCCCTCTGACCCCTTTTAATACTTAGTACTTTAAGTACTTGTAATACTTTCTTTCCATCATTTTCATGAGTGTGGTACTGGCAGCACTCGTAGAAAGAATTGCTTCATTTGGGATGTGGTAGCTGCCCTCCCTCTTCTTTATGATTTTCGTTTAGTGCATAAAATAATTGTAATGATAAAAGTAATCCTTACAGTAGACTCATCTACAGGATAAGGTTTGCAGTCTGAAAAAAGAAAACAAAAAAGGAAAGGGAATAATTTGCTGTGTGGGCCCAGTAGGCTATAATAGGATTTAACAGTTTCCTCTGTTGGATTCTTTAAGGCTGCCCCTTCTGTTTTGACTACATAAACTCCTTGTTTAAAGTTGTATAGGTTCAGCAAATTTCTTGTTGCTGCCTCCCTAAAATAAACAAAACTGAGAACAGACAATAGAACATCTCACAGGGAATTTACTGGGGAGCGCATTCCCATATCTGCAGGGAATCCTGTGCCTGTCTGTTTTGCCTGTGTACAAACTGAGACTGAAATCCTGTTGGCAAGCATCAGGCCTCCCTTTTTGTATTGGTCCCAACTGTTATTTTGTTCTCCTTCCAGATAATTAGCTGCTCAGGTTTCACAGCATCAGCTCTCAGAACTTTCTGCCTCGTGATGCTTCGTTGTCAGATCTGGTCAGCAGCATCGGAGCGCTCTGATGTGCAGAGCATGGACTAGAATGATAGCTTCTGGGTTAACCTTCATGGTGGTTTGAACAGAAAGGCAACCTCTTCCTCCTCCTCCTTAGGTCATCTGCTTTTGGAAGCATCGGTCTTCAGGAATTAAGCATTACACATTAAAAAAAAAAATAATAATAATCTTTCTCTTTTAGGATCAAAGTAGAACGGAATGGCTTGTACCAGAGCCTGTGTGTGTTAAATACAGAGCACTGAAAGAGATCTTTTATCCGCCGCCTCGTGATTCCTGGAAATGGACAAGAAGCTTCATTCAGTTATTTTGAAACCAGATGTAGAGTTCCCACTCAGGTTAATCGCTGAGAAAGATCCATCAGTGATTGCTGTGTGCTGTGCTGTGCTGAGCGGCCCCAAACAGATGCTGTTCTCTACCATAGTGCTTTGTGTGACTCAGTTTCCCCTCCAACCTGATTCTCTGAACCCTTACCGCTTGGTAACAGCTCATTTCCAAGTGCAGAGCAACTGATGGACAAGTTGGCTGTTGCTGTGACTGGTTACTAAGATTTTCCTTGTGTCTGTGGTGTCTGGTTTTGCCTTTGTGCTGTATAGCCAGGAAAAGAAGTGTCAGTAAAATGGTATGTTTAGTTAGTGGCTCCTCCCAAACAACCGTATAGTGGATTTTTCCTCTCAATAACTTAGCCTCTCTTAGTGAATAGGACAATGCTCAGAGAGGACCTGGTGTTTGTTGTAGGCGTAAATTTGGAGGGAAGAAAGGATTGTAGATTTAATCTGTGAACTTGAACATAAATTGATGCATTGAGGGAGGGGTAAATGTGTGCTGATGGTTTATAGTAAAGTGTTTCCTCATTCACGATGGCTTTAAATAAGGTGTGTGCCATTTGGCTTCATCTCCAGAGTGTCTTTGTTAAAAATGAATGTTCTCTTAAGAAAAAAAACAAACAAACCAAACCAAACTTCCCTTATTTTTAGTGCTAAGACTATTTTTTTAAAATTAGAGCTCAATTTGAGCCAAAGCTTAGGGAGTTGATAAATGGAACTTTATTGAATTTATCTCGACAGATGCCATTAATTATTCAGTGTTCATTAAAAACGAGCTTTGGTGAGTGAAATTTTAAGAAGGTACTCGCAAATGTTTGGGGGAAAGCTGGTGTTAATAACATCCGATAGGAAGCGTGAAATTTGTGACCATTTAAGCTGGCCTGTAAAAACTTCATCCATTTGGACAACTTGGGGGATGAAACAAGAACGCGTGGCTGCTGGGCTGGGGCAGCTGCCAATGCTGCTGCCTGTTTGATCAAGTAGTTGGTGGGTGTTTGGCCTTAAAACTGGTGGAAATACAAGTTGCCTTTTTACTTAAGTAGGAGAATGTGGTGTCTGGTAACGTGCATAGTTTCTTTTAATGAGAGATCATGTTGAAAAAGTGACTGTGAAAACGTCGTCAGCCTTTATGCTCCAGATTGCAACTAAAATAAAACAAAAATCCCAACCCGTTTATTGCTTAATAGAACTTGAACTTCGCGTGGACATGGGAAGCCATAGCACACTCTGTACTCGTCCATGATTAGACAAACATCTTCCAGAGCTTCACGAGCTTTGCAGTCCAACAGATCATTGGCAGTCCTCAAGGAATCCCATTTGTTACTAGCAACGATTCCAATTGCTGGAATGGGGGAGCGGGGCATTAGGCCCTGGGATTTTTGTTTCCAAAAAAACCCCATATCAGCCACTTCAGCGGAGCCAAAGTTGAGATCCATTTATTGTTTGCTCTTAGGACAGTTTCTTATCTTTCCATTGGATCTTAACGATGGATGTTGTAGGACTTAAAGTCTTAGGAGCACACATGAATATTCATGCGAGCGGGCGCTGTTACAGCTGAAATAAACAGAGTTGCTGTCATCACGTTTGTTTAATTTGTTTGTCTTTCATATTTCTTTTCAACAATTAGCCAAGGAATACAGTTAGGAAAAATAAATGGCCATCAGTTATGTTTGAGATGTCGGACAAGTAAAAACAATAGCAGACTGTTTACTGTGTGGAGCAAAGAGAAAGAAGAAAGCCTTCGCTGTGGCTAAAACACAAACATCTCTTAGGAGTTCTCTCTTCCCTTCAGTTCACCATGACCAAAAGCAGCTCCGACATCAGAACGATGCCTTGCTCAGCAGATAGAGCAAGGAGTAACAGTGTGGGAACAATGATGGTAATCTCAGAAACAAAATCAAATAGTAAATTGCATGTCGAAGACATTTGCTTACTACATTTACTTCTGTATTGTATTGCAGACTTAGTGTTGTTTTTTAATGAGAGTTTCTCATTGCTGGTTTCTCCTTGCTACTAACTGCTTTTCTCTTGTTTTAGATTTAATATTAGAAACAGCTTAGTCTTGTTGTTATTTAATGTTCTATTCTGATGCCCTCAGTGCTGCTCTCACCTCCGTGCCCCTGAGAGCCCCCAACCCAACAATATGTGCTTTTAAACTAAATTCCATATCTGATTCTGCTGTCAATATTTTCAACGTTCTTTTTCTGGGGATTGTCCTACTAGCAGAGATGCTTTATCACGTGAGTTGGCTGTAGGAGCTCTGAAAATGTTCACTTCCAGGCTTCTCAAAACAAGAATTTGGTGACTCTCTGGAGCTGTGGTTTGCAGACTTCCTCCTGTGTGTCTTGAGTTGATGGATTCTTTATCACTTTTCCAGGGGTTGTGGACTTTTATATAACTCCATTGAAGCTGTCTGTCCTCTGAAAGAGTTATGAGTGCTTAAAGTGATACAGATGTCCAGTGGACATGGATTCAAGTGGACTTGGAATCAAAGGATTACCAGCTTTAGCATTCGATACGTAACCGTGATGCAGGGGGAAAAGCAGGGACTGCCTCTAAGCCTTGTTCTTTAAGTAGGCTACTTGAACCATGAGATTGTGTTCATGTCTTATTTTAAAGGTTCTCTCCTTTACGTTCCCTTTTCCTCTCTGACTTTTGTCTTGCAGTGTTGTTCCCCAGACCACAGTAATACTGAACAACGACCGGCAGAATTCAATTGTAGCCAAGATGGTTGGGCAGGAAGAGCCACTGAGCAGAGCAGCGGATTCTCTGGAAAATATCCTTAGCAAGTTAGTAGCAGTTCTGGGAATCCTCCCCCTTCTCTTCCTCCTTTGACAGATCAGCAGCAATTCCCAGTGAAAGTGAGGAATGCTTTAGGTGGGGGGGGGAAAAGGTAAAATAACTGCAAGTGCTAAATGAATGCATCAGTCCTGCCTGGAGAAAGCCTGCATTTGAAGGTACAGAGCACTGCTTTGCTGCTGGTGTGCAGAGGACATCTTAGAGGATATGGGATGAGCTCAGTGTTGGTTGAGAGATGACAACTGAAAGAGTTCCCATAGCTACGTATTTTTTTTTTACATGGATACATAATTGCTTGGGAACGTGCCAATATCCTGTATTTAATCAACTGAATAAAGAATACACAGCAGCCCAGCAAGGCTGTTAAACTTTGTGCTATCAAGAGCATAGTTAAAATTAAGTGGAGTTGGAGATTGCGGATAGGAAATGTTCTTAATACATTCGTATAAACTGTTGTACTGAAACTTTGTCTTTATTCTGCTGTTTCTCCTGATCAAGGATTGTGTTTCCCCAAAGTTACATCCTTCTCTTTTCTGCAGTGCTGTTCCTGGACGTAGGCAGAACACCATAGTGGTGAAGGTTCCAGGGCACGACGACAGTCACAACGAAGATGGAGAGAGTGGCTCTGAGGCCAGTGACTCCGTTTCCAACAGTGGACAATTAGGAAGCCAAAGTATTGGGAACAATGTCACTCTTATTACGCTGAACTCTGAAGGTATGCTGGTCTGAGACTACATGAGAAAAGTAAATGGGAGGGTGGAATAAACCCAAATTCAGCTGGAAGCTTCTGTACAGCAAGCATCAGATAGGAATGAATAATAAGCTGAGTGAATATATTTTATATATATATATATATATATATATAAATAAATCTATATATCTACTTAGAGATATATATATATATGCATATATTTAGATAAAATCTATACTAGCTTTACAGACAGAGCAGCTAATTAGAATTGCCTGTAAAATTTAAAATATATGCCCCCCCCTGTAGCAGTGCAACCTCAAGGATTTTCTGTCACTGGGTTGTTTCAGGAAAACAAATGCCATCTCTGGGAAATAGAATCTACTGATCCATCTCAAGTGTTCGTGCCAACCCATCCTTTAGTTCTCACAAAGGAAAAGTATTTATTTTAGCAACTCTTAACAGTTTTGTAAGTAAATTCATATGAAAGACACTATTAGCAGAATAATGGACAGTGTCAGCAGCTTCTGAAACAGATTTTTTTAGATATGTCACCTTCAATGAAGTCCAAGAATTTTAAATTAGCCTTATAAAGATGCTCTATTTTACGTGATTGGAAATATTACAACATGGAATGTTAGGTGGCAGTTTTAGTCACAAACAAGATGGGATAAGGAGCACTGAGTTTTAGATGGAAATAACTTGTGATCAATTCTGCCCTTTGTTGAACTTGAAAAGTTGATCTACTGAAAGTCTCATGCACCAAAGATGGTTTCTAAAAATATTGTTTGGAAGCAGTTGAACCTGAGATTCTTTAATTTGTCTGGATGCCCATACAGTGTTTCATAAAGATTCTTGGAGATCTGTCCTGTGTGTGTGTTGTGTTGATGAGCTGCTCCTGAGGAACACTTCATAGTGGTCAATGGAGAATAAAAGGGCAGTTAGCTGTCTCAGGAATCACTCTCAAAAAACGTTCAGATTGCAGATAGTGCTGAAATGAGTTTCAAATCTACATAAAGTAATTCTGCTAGTTGTATAAGTTCCTTGTTGAACTCTTTCCTGATTAACTTCATCTTCATTCCCTTTTGGCTTCTGCGTGAGGAAATTTATTCTGTGCTTTCTGGAATCAGATGAATTTAGCATAAGGTCTCTGCTTCCTCGGATTAGGGGATATCTGGAAGTCTTTGTGCTCGAGTTTTGATCAATGTCTGATGACAAGGAAATCCTAAAATGTCCAGTTTTACAAGCTGTGTTCTAGTTAACTATTTCTTCCAGACTGGTGAAACCAGTGGGAGGAAGGTCTGAGTCTTATTAGTCAACTGAAGGCAGCAAGCAGGAGGCATCACTGATAATAGCTTTGGCTCTGACTAACTTAATGATGCAAGGAATAGAGATAGATCCCGAGCCTGTGGAATGTAAAGCCAGAACTCCCTGGCTATAGGAGCTGGCTGAATGCAAGGTATGCTCACTGAGGTCTTCGGAAACAGCCTGTAGCTGTTTTCCATGTTGGAGTGCCAGTAAGAAGGCCAGTAAAACACATCATATGCTGCTTTGGTGGAAACCAGGGGAAAGGATGAAAAAGGAGGTTGTCAACTTTCATTTCTTTATTCCGTTTTAATATGGCTGATAGGAGGAGGAATGGCACAAATAGAAGTGATAAAATTGCTATGGTGCAGATGCTGCTCGGGGTGATTCAAATTACCCTGTATTGTTTCAATGGAAATTGAAGTAAGTATTTTTAAAGATCTTTTTTTTTCTTCTTTTTTTTAACCCCAAAAACTTTGTGGAATTTCTATGAAAGCAGGCATACTTTGGGCATTCATGAGCACTATCTGGTATGCACATTGTCATCAGAAAAGGCTGCATTTGTAACAGTATACAATGTATGTATCACTCAGTATTTATAACAGAAACTCTTCTCTGAGCGTTCATTGCAGAGCTTTAAAGCTGCATGAGGTAGAAAAGCTTATGCTACCAGAGAGGGGAAAATACTTTGCATGCTCACACTTAGCATGTGTTGGCCCAGATTTTGAGTCAGGAAAGACTGAGACATGTTCAGATAATCTTAAATGTCCCAAGTGAAAATGGGGTGTTGCTGCAATGGCAGGGCTTGTGTATGGAGCATGCCCTCTTGGGGTCTGTTCATATTTCATACAGCTCTGCATTCCCTGTGTCAGGAGCGAAGTTTCTAGCATTAGGAGGGAGGTTGTTGTCTTATGCCCTTTTTGCCTTGGTGGTTTTGGCACGGATTTGCCCAGACAAATGTGATGTTGGTCTTTTACATAGCTGTATATGTAAATTGTGAGGAAATGGCTAATCCATTAACGTCCTCAGATCTGATTTTCTTCAGACCTTTAGAACAGTCATCCATTAAAAATCTCCTGGAGATTGATGAATGCTTGGAGAGATCAGATTAGTAATCCCCATGCTTACCTCTCTTGCCCTCGTGGAGATGAGAGGCCTGCTCACACAGCAGGAATGCTAAGCAGCATAGCCTGCAGTATGTCACAGATTAAATTAGTAAAAAAGGAAGCGATGAAGAGTAACAGCTCGGCTCTGCAGACTTGTTTTCTTCAGCAGCAAAAGGCAAAAGTTACAGCGCCCATCAGCTCGCTTTCGTTGTCTGGAGCAGAATTCTGAATGGCTTGGAGTTGCGCAGAGGAATCTGGGTTGGTTCTGAGGTACGAGAGGACAAGAAAGGCAAACTTCTAGCCCTTTTTCAGCATGCCTGCCATTCGTTGCCCTCTGTCTAGAAAGCAAAACACATCTGTGTTCATGGTGTGCTGTCAGCTGACACTGAGCATGGCCCTGACTTGTGGGGGTTTTCAGAATGCAACTCATGGATGCATTGTTTGCTCTCTGCTGGCTGTTTCCAAAAGACATTTAATCCCATATGATAGTTTAGAAAACATTCATTTTTATTATGTATTTTCCCGAGGCACTCTGTGCTTTTTCTTTAATCTGGAAGAAAGCTGTGTTTAAGTATTTTGGGGAATTTTCTTGTTTGCTGTCCTAATTTTTTTGTTCTCTGTGCAGATTAAGGATCTTTCTTCATTGAATGGAATAAAGAAGGAACGTTTATCACTAGAATATGTTTAAAGTGGCTGTCATTAGTTGATGGATGTGCTTTTTGCTTTTTTATGAGTCTGGTTAATTTTGACATGGATGGGTTTTTATGGTAGGTTTTGAATACAGCATATTCCCAGTTTGAACAAAGTTGTGCTTTTTGCATCTTGAGCTTTCTAATGAGGCTTAAAGCCAATGAGCAGCTGATGAACGAAGAACGTTTTTAAATCGTTGCCATCAGTAGATCTTCAGGAACTGCTCCAGAAACAGTTTGTCAGTATAAAGGGACGTGGTTTAGTAGGGAACTGCTGGTGGTGGGTGGGTGGTTGGACTTGGATGATCTTGGAGGTCTTTTCCAAGCTTGGTGATCCTATGGTTTGTAGTTGTGAACGTTTAGCTGTGTTTGCTGATAGCTTCTCGTCCCTTTAACCGTGATCAGAAGGCGTGCTGAGCTGTGTGACTTCAGGCACAGGCACCCTCCAACTTTGTACAATTCACTTAGGAAAAGTAAGCAGAGGAAGTGACCTCCTTAATTCCATCGGTGCAGTTTTGGAGGTGGAAAGGCTCCTCCAGCATCACTCATCATGAAAACTTGGGTCCTAACATCATGACATTCTTCTTGGATTTTGTCTTCCCCTGCAGAAACTGAGAGGAACACTAGATCCACACTAGTTTTAAATTACAGAAGTTTTAAACCTACAATATGAGGTACCTATATTATTTTCTGGTTTTAATGAGTTCTCTGGTGCTGGTATGTGGCACTAATCCTGCCAAGGGTTGGTTTTCAGTTGATTGAGCCGTAACCTGGCAGCCCTGCGCGCTTTCATTCTCACCACAAATCTTTAAACAATATTCTGACGTTCTCAAATGTGTTTGTCTAAACTTTCTCACTGCAAGGAGTTCATGTTAGATGAGGAAAAGCAAGTCTGAGTAACCAGGAGCGATTGAGCTTTGTTAAGAATGGTGAATAGACTTTCAAATGATCAACACCTAAAAAGGAGGCTTTCGTGTTCTTAATAGATAACATCTGAGATGAAAATAACACTTGTCCAGGTTCCTTCCCATCCTATTCAACTCTTTGGCCTTCTATTGAAAGAGCCATTACAGATACAGCCTTCCCAACCTGTCACTGCAACCCCAACACTGTGCATCCCATGCTGCTGTACAGCACCCTATGAGGACCTTTTGCCATCTGCGCTCCTCAGAGTAACTCTAATTTCCTCAATAGTCAATAATGGGTTTCCTTACATTCCTTACATTACAAAGTTCTGGGTTCTGTACGTATTCTGCACTTCCACAGTACTTCCCTCAGTGCTCAGTGCTGATTAGAGATCATTGCGTGGTTGGGTTTATAGGAAGCCGTGGCCATTCCTCACCTGCTCTTCAAAGTTTCCCTTTACAGCATGGATACAAACAGAACTTGCTGGGTTTTTCTTGCTGCTTGTGCACAGAAGAAGTACAAACAGCTCAGATGCTGAATGCTTCTGGTAATAAGCTCTCTGAAGGCACTCTGATTATTCTCTACTTACACACATCCCTAGGAGTACTTTGATCAGCACCACACATTGCTTTCAAGGTAAAAGAGATTTCAGGATATAAGGAAGAGAATATTATAAGAGTGTTTTTTTTTTTATACATTTAGTATGTGGTAGTATTTATAGCTTCTGTTCTGCGACCTGCAGTACAGACAAGAAGAGCATCTTCTTCCAGAAATGCTAATTCACATTGTTATCCTTTTAAATCTGTTTCTTGGACAATAGAGTTACTGTCCTATTTTTAATATGGAAGGAAGGAAAGCTGGACCTCTCATCTTTGTGTTGTAAGAATACCCCATTCAGCATTGCTGTGCTGCCTTAAAAGCAGATGTTGTTCGAAATGTCTAAGCTAAAGCCAAGGCTTTGAAATTGCTAAGAAAGAAGCACACTGGCTGAATATGTGAAATGCTTGAAGAGAGCCCCTTG